TGCACAGTGCATGGTAGAATCAAACAGTGGTCTCTCTTCCTGCCTGAATTAGTTCTGCTGGTGCTTTCCCATACTCACTTTAACGGTAGAGTAAAGAACCTTTTTCAGGCCTAAGATGCATCAGGCATTTGACACTAGCCTCTGAAGTTGTTTAACAGACCCGACGGGCTCCATCTTGGCTGCTTTTACTTCCCATGACATTTTCCTATTACCCACATTGGGTTGGGTCAACCTGAATTGCCCAAAGACCCCTTTAAAAACACTGATCCTAGTGTGAATTTGAACCCATGACCTCCATGTGTGGGTTCCGGGGCCCCATTGTGGAGGAAAACCAGAACTGGCCCACAGCCTACCTAAAAGCATGTCGTAAAAGTCAACTAGTTGGAAGCTTCCTTCAAAGTTGTAGTACATCTGCCTGAGAGGCCAAGAACCAACGGTTACTGCAAACAAATGAGGCAGATCTGTAAAACGGATGTGCATGCAACACCCAGGGTCCTGAAACAGGACTGACAAAAGTCCTGAAGTGGGTGAATAACCAGAACCTTCCGCCTGAGTTTACAGCAGGTGAATACAAAGAAAAAGAACCCCAAATCCATATTGACAAGCAGACAAACATGACACCGAGCTACCACAACTTCTCCCCACACTTCTGAAATAATCTCACAAAAAAGTGACCGTGTCAAATTTACCATTACAGCCACCATTAATGTGTCATAGTGGGTCACTTACACAATGCATGTACATCCAAAAACAAATTTTTAATGCCATGAAGTAAACAGGAGATTTCATTCATATATTAGTTTTGTTTTACAACAAAATCAGAAAAGATCTTCAAAGAAATGGAATACATGTATTGCACATGAGACATCAACTTTTCTTTTGGCCAATTTACAAAAAAGTACGACCGAAATCATCTCAAGTCGAAAAAACATTTCCTGCTACCTGTAACTATGGAAAGGAGAACGGACACACCTTTGCACAATCTCAGTAGGGTACCAAAAAAAATGACATTTAACAAAAACAAACATCTAAGAATTATAATAACCTCTTTTCTGAGAAGTAGACTGCCAAAATAACTGCGTGTTTTTTTAATTTTTTTTTTGGATGTATGCGGGAAGTGGGGTTTCGGAGAGGGGTTGTAGCTTGAGGATTTAGGATGGCACGGCTAGAGTAGCCACAAGTGACTGTGCAGGTCAGGATTTTATTTATACAGCGGAAAAAAAAGCCCCAAACCTATTGAGGGTCTCTAGCATGAGAGCACATTTTCTATACGTTCCTCCAAGTAAACACTACTTGTAAAAAAAAAATGTCTTGGTATTAAATAGCGTAGGTTATTGAGGGAGAAAAAATAAAATATACAATACCTCACTTTTTAAAGTTGGAAGTTAGTAAGTATGACAGCAATGTGAGCTAATAAAAAAATATCCAAAGTGTACATTAAAACCATAGGAATAATCACAAAAGGAACATATAACAAACATGTGACTAGGCTCGTATAAATACATCACCAGGAGTCAAGCAAAAGCTGTGTATTTAAAACTAAAATGTAAGGATGTGCTTTATACAAGGCTCGAAGAAATTTAAAAATATCATGCTTGCAATGTATCCATTGATGGAAAATAATGGGGCAGATAACAATACATTCAACAGTAGACACCCCATCCCAAATTGCAAAACGGGAAGGAAATAACCTGTAGGATGTTTCTAAATCAAACATTCTGCAGCACTTTCAATAAGGAAATTATTTTTACAAAGGTCTATTTCATTCGTTATTTCTTCTTGATTAAAATATCTATATAATTAGCATCTGCATAGGCATGAACTGGTTTATGAACGTACGTTGCCATATTTTGGTCCCATATATAAATAGCCGACCAACATATCACTGATAATAAAACAAAAACTGTATGAAATACGAGTATCTATTTCTTTAAATATTGTGGTCATGGCCCTAAAATAGATTCATAAGATAAAAAAAAAGTAAAGTAAAGATCCCTTTTAATGCCTTAGGCGCATCGGGTATATGGGAAGAGCACCCATATTTTTACAGACCAATCGACACTCGATGGTTAATGTGGTCAGCATTATGCCGGCCGCCTTTACTTCCCCAGGACAGCTATCTTGGTACCCATTTGAGGCTGGGTCGACCTGCGACGTCCCATACCAAGATAAAAATCCACGCAGCCCGCAGTGGCTTTCGATCGCGGTACGTTGGATTAGGAGTCGGGCTCGCAACCCCTTAGCCACGGACGCCGCCATATAAGATGAACGTTGTGTAAAAGCTAAAATGCGGTGAATCTGTTTAAAAAAATCTGCATTTAGGAATAACTCAACATTTTCAAATGGATGTTTTCTTAAAGTGCAAAATTAATATTGTAACAACACCATATGTAAAGTCAATGCTAGCACATTCAATTAATGATCTGTTAACAGAAGGCATACCAGTAGACAAATCTGCATGAACTTTATTTGTATATGGTTTGCTCTTTCTCGTACACATTTGTTTTCAAGTGCCAGGTGATAATCATAATACCAACTTATGCATATATGGGCGTCTCCTTGACTCCACGGTTCAGTTCTGTTCCAAATAACTGGGCAAACTGGTCGCAAGGTCGATTATATATTTTTCAACAAAGTTGGTGTATATGTGTACATATATGTGGACATTTGGTGTAACTGTATGATGTTTTCTTTCTCTCTTCTGTCAAAGCAAGTCATCTGTGGGTGAGAGTGACACGTCAGGTAATACTGGCCCCTGGTAGTGGCAGGCTTACAGTTCCAGACAAGACTGCCAAACACGATAGGATCAAACAGACTCCGATATGGAGACTCTGCTATGCTCTAAGCATCAATTCCTGCAACTTTTTAACCCTACCAATGTAGATTTTTTTAAAATTTACCATTTTTAATTATAAACTTTTTTTGGTGCGTTCGTAAGTGCAGACATTCACAAGATGAAGAGAAGGTGTACACAGCAGCGCACCCAGTCAATTGCTAATGGCAGAATGCATGCATAAATTTCAGTTTACATAAAATAATTTTACTGTATATGGCTTGTTCTTTCTGATACAATCTGATATTTACAAACACTTCAACTTCGTCATGCAAGAAATTTATAGCTGTATAATGCACACATTGATCAATATTAATCACTGGCATCATGAGAGCTAACAGACTGAAATGGTTGGAGTATATTGAGAGAATGTCAGATGACAGAGAAGTGAAAATTGTATACACAAGGGAGATGAATGGTCGTAAACCACGAGGCAGACCAAGAAGACAATGGAGAGATAATGTCCATATAGACCTGCAAAAATGAGTGCCATCAACTGGAAAGAGAAGACCAACCAGAGAGATGAATGGAGGCAGGTGATATCTGCAGCAATGAACCCAAAGGGCTCAGAATGCTGAAGAAGATTAAGAAGAAGATAATGCACATATCTCATGGACAGTTTAGTCATATATTAATATACATCAAATTGTGAAAGTGGCCAAAACAGCCAGTGAAGAATATTTGTAACACACAACAACTGGCAGGTCAACAAGATGGAAGAATGCCTGGTGTTGTGCCCATGGCAGTGCTGCTGCTGTCTTGACTGTTGGTCTTGGCTTTAAGAATAGGAAGGCAGACTTTCCATGTGTTAGCTCACTCAACCTATCTCTGCAGCGCCATGTCAATGACTTCCTTCTGAAACAAAGTCCACGAGAGAAATGAGAATCATGATGTTTGTGGGACTGCACTTACCGTATTTTTTCTTTCTCAATAAGACTAGTGAAGTAAAGGACCCTTTCCCACACCTTTAGGCGTATAGGGTTAAACCTATATTTTATCGACCAATCGGCACAAGATGAGTTGTGTGGTAATCATCATGAAAGTCGCCTTTACTTCCCGGGACTGCACCCGGTACCCACTTATGGCTGGGTCGACCCGGGAGCCACGGTCAATTTTTTCTTTAAGGTCTGGCTCCACCAGGGTTCAATAAGTTTTCCAAGACAAATTAAGTTTAAAACTGGGGAGTCATCTTATATACAGAATGTATTTAAAGCATCTATTTCTACACTCTAAGCTAATAAGGGTTGTATTATCCATGCAGACGTTTTATAGACTATACTTCAAACTGAAATTTATTGTCATTTTCATATAAATCTGCAGTTTAATGTCCTCGTCAAATTAACCTAGCAACTACCAATCAATCAACCTGGAATTTACTGTACTTGTCGGAGCAATCTCATTTTCTGCCCTCACTGAACCAACCCAGCAACTACCAACCCCATCTAGTCCAACCTAGAGTTTACTGTCTATGTCAGACAGAGTACTAGGTAACATGAACTCGCATGACAAGATTCCAAAGAGGGTGTCTGACAGCACCACAGAGAATATGAAGAAGACATTGAAAGTGAGTAAGAGAGTATGAGTATGAAAGCAAGGGATGTTAATATGAAAACATGTGCCAGTGAGAGGCAGCAGCGTGTGTGTGTGTGTGAGACAGCATGTGTACAGGTCAGAGCAGGAGTGTAGGAATAAAAGTTTCAGAGATCTACTCCCACCAGTAAAACTGTACCACACCACTGACCATAGTTCCACTTTTACAACTACCATTTATCAAGAGACAAAAAGGAGTCAGCACACAAACGCAGATTAGCAAAGACACTCAGCAACTGTAGGATTATATATACAACATTTTAATTACCATTTATAATTATTCAAGCCATCGCTGAATTCAATGAGAAACAAAAGCTAAGATGCTTTCAATTATTCCGATGATGCCTGCAAAGAGAGCAGACAGGGTGAAAATGGAAACCTCAAGATGCAGAGGGTGACCTAAAAGAATATCCACTGAAGAAGTCACTAACAGCACAAGACTTTACAACATCAAAGCATAGCAAGCAACCGAAAGTGCCTTGGCTCAGCTATCTACCATCTGTTAAACTGTCTCATCTAGCGACACAAAGCATATTGACTAAAAGAAGAAGCAAATCATTGATAAACATACCAGATCTCAAAGTAAAGCACAGCCGCTCTTTTTCTTTTTCTCTCGTCCAGGGCCTGGGTTCTTCTTGTTTATCTGACGCACTAAATCATAGAAGATCTGGAGAAGTATAAATAACATTGTATTTCTTGCTTTAACTATTGCAAAAACACATATACTCACAAGTGTGCTACAATAATTATTTTACACACGTGAATTAACTGGAAAGTCTAAAAACTAACAGATTGACTGCGCATGTCAGCATCAACATCGTGAAGCAGGTCCTTAACAGAAAGTCGCTCCCATCACCGCCTGCATGAAAGCAAATTTGTCCCTCACTATCTCTCCCACTTTCTTGCCAAAGGTGTCTCTTACTGTGTACATCAGCCCCTGTCCCTCTTACCCAGTATCACTCCCTCTGTCACTTATTTTCAAACCACCATGGCAGTTGATTCTGTTTCTGAGACAAAATGCTGTTTATGAGCCAGTTTTCTCTCATGTTCAGACCTTGCAGAATGTCAACATTTATCTTCTATTATGGGTTTCTGTTACAATGCATGCAAACAAACTGTTCAACAAGACAGCCATTACATCTGATACACATAAACATAGTTCATGCCCAGTTTTACTCATCAATTCAAAGTATATTTATAAATAAACCAAAACAAGTAAAATGTACCTCTAAAACATTTATTTTCATTTTGGCTGAAGTCTCCAGAAAAGCGCACTGAAATTGCCGAGCCAGATTTTGGCCTTGGTCTTTTCCTACCACTCGTTCATCTTCAAGGTCACACTTGTTGCCTACCAACAGCATAGGCACCTAGATACGTATGAAACAAAAATTACAAAAAATTATATCAATGTTTTGTCTCAACATATTCCCACACTTGTTTCTTACCAGCAGCATAGGCACCTAGATATGTATAAAATGAAGAAAAAAAAACCGCATAAATGTTTTATCTTAGCATGTTCCCACACTTGCAAATAAAGTTAACAGTAATACAGGGTCCTCCTCGACTTACAGCTGATCTCCGCTCCGACTAACAAGCCGTAGGTGAACTGGCCATTTGCCAAATCTATATGTTTCAGCACTAATTTAGTTCAAACAGGTTATAAAAAAATTGAACATAAAACACAAAACTGTAATCTACGTACGCGTAACCATTGTACGTAATGTGGAAAATAAATATGTACTCAATTGTATCAACTTAACAAACTTTTTGATCCCACCAAATGTTATATTTCTTAACTATTTTGATTTGTTTTCGATCCCACCAAATGTTATCTTTCTTTACTTTTCTGATTTGTTAACTTGTTTGTGCGGTCGTAGGTCGTATAAGTTGTAAGTGAATGTGAAGGTGTACACTTTTATTATGCCAGCGGCACACTAGGATTATGATGCCAGACTCAAGATTTGTCATCACTAGATGAAATATGTGGTCAACATCACGCCAGCCACCTTTACTTTCTGAGATTATTCCCTGATGTCCATATTAGACTAGTGCAAGAAAGGTCAATATACAGGGAAAAAAAAATTACATCAATGTTTCATCTCAATATATTTCCTCTCATTTACCACATGCTATGACTACATACGATTCAACTTTTAATCTCAACTTTAGCAACCACACACTGGCCCTGCATTATCCTAAGATTGTTTCTGGTATCTCTGAATCCTCTGGAAGACTGAGTTTTTGAGTCTTTCAATTGTAGACCTATTTCTTGAATCTAGTCTTGTTCCACAACTGGAGTTTTGCATGCACATCTATTCTACAGATGTGGCTTATTTGCAAGCAGACTGTTGATTCCTTGCCTTTAAGGCAGATGCACTCACACTTCGAAGGAAACACCCTAAACTAGATTACATTAGTTTACTTTTATGACATGCTTGTATGGTGCTGGATCCTGGAATTTATATGGGGACTCTTTCAGTTCATTTAATGGATGATCCTCTCCCCTAAGCCTTCAAAACGAGTGTTAAGTACAAAGGTACATAACTGTCAGCAACTATACAGAGTTCCTTTACTCCTCTACATCTATAGACACTGCAATCAAATCTCATAAAATGCTGAATTAGGAATCGACATCACAGCACTCGAGACACTCCCATAAGTGCTTAGTTCCCCATCTTCAGCAGCAAGCGAAGAGTTCCAATTCTGATGGTACCAGTAACCGTCTGATGGTATATCCGTCTCATCCTTCCCCCTGAGTGCTGAGCATCGACCAGATCCCCTGGTAACTCCTCGCAGCACCATTCTCCTTAAACCGTAAAGATCTATCTGTGTCTCCTCACTGTTCACTCATTCCCAAAGGCCCCTCACAATATCTAGCTTGTCATACATCAATTCACCACCACGTGGTGCAGAGCTAGCAGGTCTATCTGCCTGCTCATTTCCTAACACACCGACATAACCTGGAGAATATATTCAAATCTCAGAGATATTATAACTAAAAAGCAAAAACTGCACAACAATGAAATGTTGAAACATTTTGAAGTATACTTACATCATCTGTATCTTTAACCCTCAAAATCTGTTCTCTTAGATCCTGTAGATCATTGAATGTAGACTGTGCTGTGATGGAATACACCAGAAGAAAGCCTTGTCCATTTTTCATGTACAAATCCCTCATGGCTGTAAATTGTTCCTAAAAGATAAGACATTAATTAAACTTCTTATGAATAAAAGAATCAACAATGGGTGCTTTAATAGTATCCTACCCCAGATGACGTCACAGGACAGTCCAACATTTTAGAGGGTGGTAAGACTGGGTTTACCAGCTTTCTGATGCTTTTAACGACCCCAAAACATCTATAACTGGCCCTAACCCACCTACGCCCCATGAGAGAGTGCAGCCCAAGTCCCACGACTGCATGCAGGCTATCTACCACCCCCAGAAATATTAGACTGTCCCGTGACCTTTGAATTTTGCCTGTTTGGGGTAATATAATAAAGCACTCAACAATTTACACAGCTGCACTCTGACATTTCCACATTTGCTCTAACCCTCTCAATAGTAAATGAATAGTTTCCACACTGATGGTGCCTGTCATTTTCCCTCACAAATTGTCCACACCCTCTGCTTGCTCACTGCTAGATCAGTCTCTGCAGGTTGCACTTGATCCCGGACATCACCACCACAACCAACTGCCCTCAATACGCAAACAAGTATTTGACCACATTGATATACAATATTAGAAGTCTAGAGAGAACAATAATGGAGGGGTATATGCCTGGGAAGAGAGGAAGAGGAAGGCCAAGGAGAAGATGGGCGCAGGATGTGGCAGATGATCTCCAGATGGGTGTATCAGACGCAGGACATCTTGCTCAGGATAGGAAGGTTTTCCGGAGGGTTGTTATGGCAGCGAGGTTCCGCGAGGGACATGCTACTGAATGAATGAATGATATACAATATAGAAAGTAAACTATCACAAATGTGGGTCTCTAATGACAAACATAAAATCTTTCTGGGATCTCCGCAGCAAAGTGGTCAAGCCATTCGCCTCACGCAAGGTCATGGGTTCATTCCACAGCTGTGTCCTTGGGTTATGAGTGCAATTTTTACGAAGATCATCACCGGAGCTATGGAACTTATGCTATGCATAGTGCTTTCGGCAGGCGGCTAGCTGTTCTGTGAAGAGAGACTGAGCCATATGGGATAATACCCAGTGCCATGAAGACAATCCTCTCATCTTTAACTTTTATAACATCTCCCTACAATGTAATCAAGACATTTTGGGAAAGCACAGAATCCAAAACTGCACCCTACCTCTTCTTCTTCTTATGTTCACCAGCTGTAAACTCCAGTGAAAAGTTCTGGTTGTTCATCCCCTTCTGGACTATGGTTTTGTTTCCGTATCTGAGTCTTGCGTGTACATCCATTGTATGGTGATTTAGTTTATTTGTACTGAAAATGTTGGTTCCCTGCCTCTCAGACAGAGGCATTTGGACTTAGAAGCACTTCCTAATTATTTGCCCTGAATGACATGCTTATTATGAAGGCAGTGAGTCTAACCTCCCCCCTCCCCCTCCTCAAATTAGGTCCAAGATCACACTAAGGGAAGTGCAGCCTACCAAAGCATGTCATGAGAAGTAAATAAGTGTGTGATTTGTCTACAGGTTGGCTACCTCATGCTCACTATTGTTATGGAGTAAATTTCTACAAAAATTAAACTACAGTTAAAGCTACTTAGGTAACAACTCGATAACAATGGTGAACACAGACCGGTCTAACAAAACAAGAATCTCTGTAGACCTGTTTGAAGGTGAGCCGTTTAAGGACATGATTATCATGTTAAATTGCATAAGTGCGTCTAATACATCAAAATATGACCTGAGACATGTCTGTTTTGAAGGGTTAAATACAAGGTACTTACTGTGCCTGCAGTGTCCAGTATCTCTAACATGCACTGCTGACCATCAACTTCAACTTGCTATATAATGAAAGACAACAAAGTTTCCTGTTACATGTCTGAATTAAAAAATGCACCAGACTAATTTTTTAAACCCTCATTGCTGAATTTTTTAAATAATTTATTTGTTTTCTTAATTTCCCCTTCAAATGTAGTAACAGTTTTCTGTCAGCCACATCCACTACATATGTTTTTCTCTCTAACTGAATAATTAACTAGCTGTTATAAAGTAGAGGTAGAGTAGAGAGAAGGATACATAGGTGACAACAGAAATGAAGGACAGAGAAGTAATACAGGGGATGACAGTTTGGGGAAAGGGGTAATTAAACAGACAAACATGTATAAGATAATATGTTATCCCAAAATTTTTCAAGTTGAAATTGGGCCGTCTTATACAAGAAATGTTTTTCAAATAAACATTTCTTAAATTTGGGCTTAACAAAAAAATAGGGGTCCTCTTATGATTGATTGGCCCCTTTCCGTCTTTCCAGATGACAGTGTTATATTGCGCTACGAGCAGCCCATGACGACGGTGAGTGTGATTATCAAGACCTGCCAGCATTAAGAGAAGTCTTTCACTGTTAGAGCATGGGATTTCAGGACTGCTGATTACAACATTTGTGTTAAGTCTGTTCCTTCTCAGAAGCTCAGCTCTCATCCTTTCTGCAATCGTTTCTTTTTCATTCCCTTCCTGATGTGCCCCCTCGACACAACACCGTTCATGACATTTTGTTACCATGAATCTACCTTAATACATGTATCATTTATGTCCCACTATGGGTCCTCTTATACACTGAAAAGTATGTTACACATGCAAATACAAAGTTCACACAAACAAGTTACAAAACTGATCTTATAAGGAAGAAATTCACTTTATTCACAATAATGAACAACCCAAACAAAAATGGGAAACAAATGGATTGAGGAAATAAGAACATCCAAGAGATACTCTTAAACAAATGATGATGAGAAGAGCCAGAGGGGCTGGACTGGATCAGATCCAGGATGCTGAAAGGACTGCATATGGCAGAATGTAAAGGAGGAACAGACTACAAGCTCGTTGTGACATATCTCAGCATAAAAGGATGATGACGATGAAAACAGACAAAGCTATGTAGTGTTTTATTCCTTCTTTAATATATTTGAAATATTTTACAATGACTATTCCTACAGAAACAGTGGCTGAGTCTTATAATTGCATTATAAAAACAACAACACTGAAAACAATAAATGCACAACACACACCTTTCTGTAACTGTCTTCTATCGTTGGATCATACTTCTCAACAAATATCCCTTGCACAAACTGAACAGTCTGGAAAGAAGCAAATACAAATAATAGAGTTTTACTCCAAAAATTTTTTTTTAGGTGTTTTTTTTTTAAAAGAAAAGAACGCATTTCCACTCCTTTGGGCACATAGGGCTAGACTTATATTATAGACCTATCTGTACAGGTGAGTGATGTGGTCAACATCATGTTGGCCACCTTTAATTCCCAGGACTGTACCTGGTACAAATTCAAGGTTGGGTCAACCTAGAAGCCAATGTCATTTTTGAAGAAATAAAGTCAGGCTCCGCCAGGACCCCGAGCCCAAGATTTTCCAATCCCCAGCTTTTAGCCCTACAAATAGGCGTCTTACAAGTAAGTCAGATGTACTTTCGAAAACTGGTTTAAATAGCGAATTTAGTGTCGTTAAGAAGAGACATCATAACACACGAGACATCTCCATCAGTGCTTTATCCTATCTTCAACAGCAAATTCAGAGCTCCAATTATGATGGTATGAGCAGTAGTCAAACTGTACATCTGTTTTGTCTTTTCCGTGAGTGTTCAGCGTCAGCAAATCCCCTGGACACCCTAAGCCCGTGAGTGTTCAGCGTCAGCAAATCCCCTGGACACCCTAAGCCCGTGAGTGTTCAGCGTCAGCAAATCCCCTGGACACCCTAAGCCCGTGAGTGTTCAGCGTCAGCAAATCCCCTGGACACCCTAAGCCCGTGAGTGTTCAGCGTCAGCAAATCCCCTGGACACCCTAAGCCCCATTCTATTTACAAGGCAATGATCGGGCTGTTCACTGGTTTCCCTAGTGTCCAGCACAACATCTAGTTTGCCCTGCAATTATTTACCCCCAAGGTTTGCAAAACCAGCATATCAGTCTTGCTTGTTAATTTCAAAATACACCCGAATAACCTAGAGAAAAAAAATCCAAAATAAAACTCTGAAGCTATTCTTGCCACTCTGCACAGAGCACACCTGTCTCTAACTTTCTAAACATGCTTTGTACATCAGTTACAATCCCGACATTTGTCTGCAACGGGTTCTCAAGCCAGCAGAAGGCATTGAGAGGTGAAACTTCATAAGCTAGTTACTTTAAACATTTAAAAACATCTAAAACACAGCTGGGGAGTAAAGGCGATCTGCGGGATGTTAAGTGCACCCCCCCCCCCCCCCCCCCCAGTGTCAACTGGTTTTTCAGACACACGAATTTGCCATCTTCAGACTGGTCTATAAAATATAGGTATATATATATATATGTCCATAATGCCTGGGGGTGGGGAAAAGCATCTCCTACTTTTTACTTTACTGAATTTACACACGCACGAGGAGCCACTGGTGTAAACAGGGTTATTCACATTATTTTAGTTACTACTTAAGCATACATGGTTAAAGGACAGACTTCAGGAGTCACTGCACATCAAGGCAAAACTTTTGACTAAGAGAAACACAGGTGCAGGCCAAACTTTACGGGTTGCTGATCGAATTACAATAGACAGTGAAGTTTATACTAGAAACACTGCAGATGGCGATAATCTATTTCAGGCCAACAAAAGAAGAAGACGAATCCATGCTCATAACTTGAGCAAAATGAAAATATTACATGACTGAAAGAACCAACAGAATATTAGACATGTAACAGGAAAGTAACTCAGATGAATTATTCTGTGTAGGTAGACAACTACTACTCATCGTCAAAATGTTGTGCCATCATTTACCACATGGGGCAGGCAGTCTTATCTTTTATATTAGTATATGTAGCAGTTTTTTTTTTTAAAGATAGTGGTGTCCCAAACTACTTTCTTTCTCATCCAGGCTTACGATCAGAAATGGCAAAGACTACTACTAAAGGTAAACCAAAATACACATGAAAAACGGTGCTAGAGAGCAAAGTTGTAAATACTGGGAGGATGCATAGTCTGCCTGCAGACAATCGCAAAGGATAAGACGATTTAGAGAGTTTGGGTCAGGGCCTATGCTCCAATGGGGGATGACATTAAAAAGAAAGTAATGAATAATGACAAGACTATTATAAACAATGACTGTGTTGTCTTCTTGTGCAGAATATTGGGTGTGTGTGCGCACGCACCATTTTTTATTTATTGCAATTTTATTCAACTGTGAATTAAACACAAAAACATTTTTTTTTTCAAATTACCAATGCACTCTTCCCAACACCTCCACTGCCCAAGACAACAAGTTTATATTCCCGCATATTCCGTTTTGGTGCAGACCTAAAGGTTCTGAAAATGGAAAGAACAAAATTGTATAACAATAAACAATCAAAAATGAGAAAATATGGAAAATAAAACATACATTCTCTGAAACATAAATTCCACTAATATGTAAACCAAAAAATCCTCATCCGATTTGCCATATGATATGACTAAATCAAACATGTTACTACTTTCCCCTGTCACCATTATGTTAAATACAGACATATAAGGATTATAGTATTAACTCTTTTAGTATAAGAAGCTGCTCTTTTTTGCAAGTAAATTACTCTTAGTCTGGGATGTTTCTGATGGCTCCTAAAGATTGCTATTTTTTATTATTTATAAAGACCGGTTTATTTCTCATTATTTCTATAGGCTGGGTTATATTTGATAATTCCTTTAAATTTAGTTATGTATAATTTATACATAATATTGCACCAAGCAGATAAGCTATTATAGAAATGTTTAATAACGCCTATATTTTAGGCCTTTAAGGAAGCATTAACACAACCTTCCAGCTTCTTATACACCATAAAAATGGACAAGATAAAACATTTTTGTGACTCTGCAACCTAGGGTGCTTTTTCCACACACACATAATCTCTCTGGCTACCATATGGACAAACACAGAAAAACTGTAGTATCACTATTTATAATTTACATATTCACTGAAATTAGGTATTGTTCCTTTTGTTTACTGTATCCTGGGAAGAGAGGAAGAGGAAGGTTAAAGAAAATATGGGTCCAGGATGTGGCAGTGATCTCCAGATGGACGTATCAGACCCCGGACATCTTGCTTGTGATTGAGAAGTTTTCCAGAGAGTTGTTATGGAAGCAAGATTCTGCAAAGGACATGCTAGTGACTGATCCTTCAGACCAAACCACATTTGAGACTTTTTACAGCAGAATATCTTGGAGGAAGGCAAGAAGAAGACCAAGAAAGGTAAGGAAAAATTGTGTAGCTGAAATCTGCAAATCAATGAACAAATCCATCACCCAAGTGACCCGAGAAGCGATACAGAAAACTACGTCACTGGGCTACAACCTGGTATCTGTAAGACGACTAAAGAAGGAGATGCTGTACAACATTCTTTTCTCTCTTTAAAAGTTGTATTTTTAATTAGCATAACAATAAATATTAGTACAGTTAAAACAATGATATCATTCAGTGAGCACTGTGCTGTTAACTGTTTTTACAGAAGTAATTAATGCGGGTATACTGGGATACATCGGGACGATCTTGCTGTACTAAGTTATAAAGGAACTACTCTGCCTCAAGTCTGTACAATTGAAGAGCAACAATTTTGTCATGGGAGTGTATTATCACTGAACACCAGCTAAACACCAACTAGAATGGGTTCACAGCATCCAAAAGTCTCCACCTCAAAAAGCTTATCTTGGCCGTACAGACCAGGATGTACTAAGCTGAAAGGAAATGAAAGAGCAGACAGAGTGATCATGTTTGCTGTAGTTAGTGGAGAAGGAAGTATGCACAGGGTAAACACCCAGAGACGTTAAGAGGACAAGCATGCAGAAATCGGTTGCAAGACAAAGAAAAAAGGTATGCCAAGAATCTTCCGCCAGACTTTACAGACGGTGAACGTGAAGAAAAACTCCTCCTGGTAATGTTGAGGATAGACAGACACTGAGATGGCTGCTGCATCTGAGGATGGAGCGTGAAAGGGTTTGATGTATGCGCTAGGATGTCAAAATGGATAACAAGTAACAAATACACTGGATAACAAGTAACAAATAAACACTGGATAAGAAGTAACAAACACTGGATAAGAAGTAACAAAAAACACTGGATAACAACAAACACTGACTTTCACTTAAAGCAGTGAACTAATTGAAGCAACTTAGGCCAAATGAAAATATTTAGTTTAAGCTGCATATAGAGGAAAATCCTTAATATAAAACAGTGTTGATCAAATAACATTTAAACCTAAAGGACACAGAAATGTAACAATTATTTATTTAGTGAAGAAATTTTAGACAATCTAGAGAGCTGTCACACAAGAAGATATGATACAGAATATAAAACTTCAAGAAGTTAAGAATACACACAGAAAAAATTAACAGGTTTTGGTTTTAATTATTAATTTAATATACTGCAAAGAACTTGGTTTATAAGATAATTTACTGAAAAGGACATGTGTTAATCATAAAATCAAGATAAATCATGTTAATCATGATAAATGAGGAAGTAAGATTGCATTCAAAAATGTGATGTGAACATTCAGAACATCCTAGACCTAGAGCCAGTGAACACTGACTGCTTTGGACTAGTGTCTGACCTGCCATCAGACCATCCATCATGTCCTCTTAATTTATGTTTTGGGAGCACAACCAAATCCTTCAACTATTACTATTTAGTAGATAAACATAATTCAGTTATTTCAGAACCAGAACCACCTACCTAAAGTTTAGGCATAATATTAATATATAAATAACCCAGTTATGAAAATTGTCACTTATAGTATACTTATAATTAATTCTTTCAAAGACTGCACAGAGTCACTGGACAGTGATAATAGTATAATACTATTGAACTGAGTGAAAGACACAATTATGTTTAGTTTACTAACCGGGGCTGATTGTCGACTGACCTGAACTATCATCAATCATTCATCAACTTACAACACAAAACTTGGAAGTTTGAAGCAACAAAATCCCTGAATTCAAAAATTAACTACCATGAAGCTAAATTTTTGAGAGAAATCTGTCATCTACCTATTTTGGCTGTACATTTTGTGATAACTATAAACATCGCTTAAAGAAAAGACAAATATGCAATAAGCGGCGGGCTAAACAAATGTCTCGATACTTATTCCGGCTGTTGTCTGTTGTCCGAAGAAGCAGATGAGCAGATTACAATACTATACTTACATAGTACTTTAACTACTATAGTACACTGCAACCAAACACAACAATCACTCAAAATCCATGAATTTCAATACTAACTTTAGACGTATACTTTTCCATTCTAATACCGTACATACAGGTTTTGTGTAGATTTTTTTTTTTAGATAATAAAGGAGTCAAATGAATGTTTACTAACTGTCAGTCGGACAGTAGGGGTGCTCGACAAAGCAGTGATGTGATTACTCACCTAGGCTGGGCCTTGTACTGATATCCGTTTAAGAAATAAAAAACAGAAACTTTAGGCCGAAAACTACCACCCATATATTTTAATAGTGTCAGATACAGATTAAAAAAAAAAAAAAGAGGGGGACAGACTAATAACGAGACCAAACAAATGTTAACTAACCGGCTGGTGTCCAGAGAAGAAGAATACTCAGTCAGTAGCCTGGACCGTTGAATGTGTCAGAGACAACTTCCGTCTGCTGGTGACGTCACAAACCTCCAGACCTTTCTATATTTGGCTCGGATTTCCCACAAACCACTTCTGTCATGCGCATCAGCCACTTCCTTTTTGCACCCCCACTTCCTTCCTTTCTCATGTCAGCTTCCAACTGCTGCTGTTGTCTTCTCTCTCCGCTTTCTATTTTCCTTGTTCTCTTTGCTACTTTCTGTTTGCTGTTCTGTCATATTTATTTGTTAAACTACACACGCTTTGATCTTATTTGATCGGCTTTTTATAAGCTCGAAATGATGAGACTTTCTCGACTAGCTTGCAGCGATGATGTCGAGCTGGCAAAAAAAACGTGGAGATGATGAAAACCAATGTGTGGAAGGATCGGAGTTGTTTGATTTAATCATTCAGTTCCTTGATTCTAGTGAAACTTCGATTACTGATCCACGTCTTAGCAGTCTTGTTATAGCTTAGTTTGTTTTTCTTTTATTATTGTGCGATGAGCTTTTAATTACCTGATAATCACTGAAAACTAGTGACGACTTTTAATTTTTATCCACATTATAAACCGCGTGTGGACCGATCTGATCTAGCGCAACAACCGTCGTCAGAACTGCGTTCCTATTTACCTAGACAACAGTTACAGGAATAATCAGTTTAGAATTGATGAACACGAATGACAGATTTGAATCTGAACAAAATATTGTACACACTCTGTAGTCCATATTGTGAAAGGTGGGTGGTGACTTCAACATACATCGCACCGATAGCCTTTACCTTTCGGATATTTACTTGATGCCCATTGTAGACTGGGAGGCAGTGTCATTTTTTAACACACACTGTTTAAAAAATGAATGTGTGCTACCTGGGAACTAACAGATCTATGATGAATACAATTCATACTTGCTGGGGTTAGTTTTGTTCATGTTAACCGAGTATTCATCTTAAGCCAGTTTGTGTTAATAAGGGTTATACCGCATTTCATATGAATATTTTCAGGTAATGACCAGATGCTAATATTTTGTTTTATAATGCACTTGCCTATACTATGCAAATGTGTACTTCAAGCTGTGCTGAGAGAGGGAATGCAGCTATAATTTTTTTTTTCTGTCAATTTGTGGTGGAAATTTAGTGAATAAAAAACGTGCAGTTTTTTTTTTATGGTCACTTTTCTGTGATTTTTCTTTGGATTGTTTGTGCATACAGAAGCCAGAAAATTCACTCTTTTGTGTCCACGTACATACTCCTGCATATCCCAGACTGTATATCCATGTGATTTCCTGCAGTGTTAGTGTACTGATGCATGCATCATCTATTTCAACATTTTCATCTATCAGTTGTTACAGTTGTATTTCTAATTCTGCCATACTGTTACACCACTATACATTCTCTTTCTAATGTGATAATTACCTTTGATTATACCCCCTCCCATACCTCTATTTGGCCCAGCAAGGTTATGTTTGTCCAGTGCAGAAAATTGCATGTCCAACACTCCACTCCTCTCCCTCCACATAAATGAAGTATATGTTTAATTTAAGAAACACATTTGTCATCATTGCCCCCTTTTTCCTCCCAAATTGATAACACCTGGGGTGGCCGCAACCCCCTTCCTGCTATCTCTTTCCTCTATATCTCATCTTGTTTCTTTCTCTCCCTATCTTAGTCCTGACTTTATTTCCTTAA